AGGCCGGCACCAGCGCGCGCCGGGCAGGCTCATGGCGGGCATGCGGCACCTCGCGCAGCCCGGAGTTGTCGCAGCCCGCAGGGGCCCTTTCAGTCTTGCACGCGGCGGACGCGGTGTGTTGTGCCTGCGGGCAGAGTCGGGGCAGCCGCTGGGTGCTGTTAAGACCTCCCTGTTGTGTGTGCATCACACCTAAAGGCCTAGATCCCTGTCGGCCAGCATGGCCCTCTCTGCCCCACTGCCGCTGGTCCTAAACGCAGATGAGGCCTTCCAAAAGCCCCATCAGTGCCAGAGCCCCGATGCTGACACCTGAGCCGCTGGCTCTTACCATGCGCTTGCAGGGAGCATCTGGCTAACGAGGCTTCTGATCTCAGCCTGCACCCTCGGTTCTTGGCCGTCTGCTTTTCCGGCTCATGCTTGCAGATGCCACTCTAATGGTTTGGTTTCCGTGGCTCGGCTCACTCATGGACTTTTCTCTCCTTTTAATTTCCTGGCTTGCCCTTGCGTTCTGCTTGCCCTCTCCCACTTTCCTATGTGCCCACTTCTGGTAACCTTGATCTCCAATCGGTCTCCAGGTCTAGTCACCCGTGACCTGATGCTGCCAATCTGCCTGGACTACCCTTTGGCGAAGAGGGCCTGTTATGGATGCCTCTCCCCTGGTGGTGCTCTCAGACCCACCTGCTTTAGATGCCAGTTCTCCAGGAGACCTACAGGCCATGCAGGAGTGGCTGATTCAGCTTGCCTCTACCTGACAAGTCTTGGAGCTTCACTTGCTGCAGTTGACTACTGCAAACCAGACCCTTCAATCCCCAGTTGCCTGTCTTCAGGAGAGCTCCTGGTTGGAGGAAACGTGGCAGCTGAGAAGAGCGCGCGTTCTGGGCCCACCTGGAACCCTGAGCTTGAGACCATTACCCGAAAGGTACGACGTGAACCAGCAGCATTTCTTGGGATTCCTCGATCAATGCTGTCTCTTATTTCTGGCACAGCCCAGAGCTTATTCCAGTGACCAAGCAAAAGTGAACCTTGTGATAGACCTCCTGTTGAGGGAAGCCTTGGTCCAGGTCTCCCTGTTCCTGGAGCATAGCAGCCCAGTCCTCTAGAACTGGGAGGCATTTCTCCAAGCCATTGCAGCTATGTACAACGGTGAGCCCCACTGGGGCTGTACAGCAGAGTCTGCATTGTGGAACTTCTACAAGGAGTAGAGTGCAGCTGCTGCTGATGCTTTTCTGTTCTAGCGCTACGTGGCAGACACTAACTGCAACAGCAGCTGAATTCTAATTCTGATAGGGTCCATGAGAAGAGGTAAAGGCTGACCTTGCCTAGGTGGAAGTGCCCTCCAAACCTCGTGACTTTGTGGATTTAGTGATCTGCATTCTCAGTCTTGCACTCTACAGAAAAGGAAAGAAGAAAAGAGGTACTCTTTGTCTTCTCCTTGTCCCCGTCCTCTGCTCTTAAACCTGTGCTGGTAGATGGGGGAGGACTGCCACCTTACCCTCAGCAAGTGGGAATGACACTGCCAGCACAATTTGTGCTTCTATTGTGGGACATCAGGACATATGCTTGCCTACTGCCCTACAAGAAGGGAAACATGCCTCCACCTCCTCTCACTCAGCCCTGCAAGGGGTATTGACTTGGGGTCAGCAATAAAGGTGAAACCTGTAGCCAAATCAAACTGCAGACCTTTCAGATAAGGTTACCTGTTCACCTGCAGATCCCAGGCTGAGCCTGTTTTACAGCTGGTATTATCTACCCTACCAGACTTCAGGGCAACTAGAAATGTCATTAATGAAACCATTGTCCAAGCCTTACGTATCCCTTTATAACAGCTCGGGCTGGGAACAGTTGAGACCATTTCTAGTGCCCCTCTTTCATCAGGCTCCTTGGAGTTGGAAACCCTCACCCTGGATGTGGAAATCTGCAAACACAGGGAAACTTTGCTTCGGGGCAGTCTGATCCCACATTACTCCCTGATCCTGAGATCCTTCTGGCTTGCCTGTTATGGTCCCCTGGTCCAGTGGAAAAGCTATGGAGTTTTACATCCAGTTTTTGGAGGAAACACTTAAAAGCCTTGGATGGTTGACCCACCCTATGATTTCAGGCTAGAATCCCAACAGATAGCAAGGTAGATTTGAACCTTAAAATAAATACATTTCTATAATATAGCATAAGCTTACATAAGTTGGTTTATGCATATATATATTCTCAGTATAGTTAGTCCTTTAAGGATTCTGCTTGACTTCAGACTAACACAGCTAACTATGTATCCCAACAGATACTGTCCTACAAGGAGCTCTGTCTCTTGCAGCAAGATCTGACCTACCCCCAACATTATGCAGCTGTTTTTGATTAAAAACCTGCTGAAGTTCCTCCTCCCTCCCGCACTGTGTCTACAACTGCACCATTGTCTTACAGCCTAGGATCTCAGTGGACCACTCTACACTATGTCTGAGCAGGAACTAGCTGCCCTCTGAGAGTACCTTCAGGCATGGGCAGATCTAGGATTTTGAAAAGGGGTGCAGATGGTGTGACTGATTAGCACATATAATGCAACACACATTTTTCTCCAGTTAAAGAGGAATTAGATGCTTTACTAATATACTAAAGGGCTAGCAGTATATTATTTAGTTTAAGGCCAAAGCAAAAACAAATAAAACTATTAGACTGCACTGATTTGCTAGATTCTGTATAAAGTTTTAAAAGATACCACAAACTAGGCAAAAAATAGTCAAAAGATATTATTTCATTAGCCCTTTAGTCATTGCAGTTAAATATACATTTCTTACTCAGTTTTGTAAACCAAAGCTAGCCTTCTTGAGTGGCCTGCCAGTGCCTCCAATACTTCACTGTCAGTCATTTCCTTATTAACCTGAGTTAATATTACCACACCTGAGTTAAGGTTTTTAGCTAGAATTTGGGTGGAGCATGGAGGAGGAATGAAAGAGGGGTGCAACTGTATCACTTTGTCGCCCCCACCCCACCCCACCCCACCCCTGGATCTGCCCCTGCCTTCAGGAGAGCCCGGCCTGGGAGTTTATAAGAAAATACATATCTCTTGCCAGGGCCCCTATCTTGTTCATCAGAAAGGACAGGAGCCTCTGCCTCATTGTAGACTATCAGGCCCTGGACCAAATCACCACCCAAAATCAGTACTGTCCCTACCTCTAAACCAGGGGTGGGCAAAATGCGGCCCGGGGGCCAGATTCAGCCTGCCAGGCCATTCTATCCAGCCCATGGGGCCCCTAAAAAATGTAGAAAATTAATATTTATCTGCCCTGGGCTGCCTGTCATGCAGCCCTCGATGGCTTGCCAAAACTCAGTAAGCAGCCCTCTGCCCAAAATAATCGCCTGCCCTTGCTCTAAATCCTGAGCTACCAGATTGCTTAAAGGCTGCTTGCATAGTCACTAAATGTGATTGCAGTGGAGCATATAGCCTGGTAAGAATAAGAGATGGTGACAAATGGAAAATAGCTTTCTAAGTTATAGTGTAAACCCTAGTGGCTTAATGGATAAGGCACTGGCCTCCTAAGCCAGGGACTGTGGGTTCAAGTCAAATATGCATCTATGTGTTATAGGCTTGCAGAAAGTAGGCTTCTGAGTGGGTGGATCTTGTTGTATCAACCGCATCTCCTTTTATAATCAGGTAACTCACCACCTGGATAAGAGAGAGGAGGTTGATACTGTCTATATACCTTGACTTCCAAAAATCTTGATCTGGTATCCTATGATGTTCTCACGAGAAAACTGGAGGATTGCGGGCTTAACTGCAAGAAAGGTGGGTAGAAAGCTGGCTGTGGGGCAGGACCCAGAGAATCCTAATGAACAGATTTGTGTCATCTTGGCAAGAAGTGGCCAGTGGGGTCCCATAGGGGTCGATGCTTGTTCCAGTAGTATTCAATATCTTCATCTTTAGTGAAGAGCTCACTGGCCAAGTTTGCAGATGACACCAAGTTACCGGGAAGTGTGGTCACACTTGAAGATAGGCTGCAGATACAGGTGGACCTAGACAGGCTGGCAAATTGGGCAGATCGGAACCAGATGAAGTTCAGCATTGAGAAATGTAACGCGTTCCACCCAGGGATGAACAATCCCCTGCACACCTACAGGCTTGGCAATGCCAATCTGACAAACACTATGAATGAAAGGGAACGGGGGTAATAATAGACAACAGTATGAACATGATCCAGCAGTGTGACACCGTATCAGCTGAGCTAATAAGACCTTTGCATGCATCAATCGATGCATCTCCAGCAAAACCAAGGAAATGCTTCTTCCACTCTACTCAGCATTGATGAGACCACAGCTAGGGTACCGTGTCCAATTCTGGGAGCCACGCTTTAACAAGGATGTGGTAAAGCTTGAGAGAATCCAGAGAAGGGCCACCCATATGATCAGAGACTTGCAGGGCCAGCCATATGAGGAAAGGCTGAGGGACCTGGGACTCTTCAGCCTGAAAAAGAGAAGGCTGAGAGGGGACTTGGTAGCAGCTTACCGCTACATCGGGAGTACATCAAGGGCTCAGTGAACAAGTGTTCACCAGGGCACCCTTGGGGAAAACTAGGGGTAATGGTTACAAACTCCTGGAAAACCA